GCGGTCCATGATGTAACGGCAGACCACGGTACCGTTGATGGAACCGGAGATGAAGATGACGGGGAGCGCGATACCGAAGGCGATACGGGAGACAGTGTTACCGGCGGAGAGAAGAGCAGGTGACTTGACCTCCTGACCAACGAAAGCGTAGACGAGAGCACCAGTCATGGTGTAGATGAAAATCTCAATCAGACCAAGGGCCCAGATGGACTTGACGTAGTCCTTGGGTGTGTGCATCTCGGACATGAAGGAGAATTGGCAGACGGCGAACGAGTAGGCGAAGATGATGTTGGTGGTAGCCAGGAAAGCTTCGTAGAATGAAGTTCCGGGTTGAGGCCACGCAGACCAGTTGACTCCGCTGAGTCCGCCAGGAGCATCATGTGCCTGGATACCAGTCGCGATGATGGTGATCAAGATGGCGGCAATGATACTAATAAAGTCGATGTAACCTAGGAACGCGAAGTCGTGGAAAGTGGGTGGCAGAGCAAGGATCAACAAGATAATCATGGATACAACACCCCATACAAGCGCGCATGTGGTGTAGTTTCCGATGATGTTAATCCAGGCAATTGTTCCAGTAAGCGCGTGCGATCCGACGAGCAGAATCAAGAAGAGCGCGAACATGACACCAGTAAGTTCCTTTCCGAATTTTCCCCAGATGATTTCGACAGCGTCCGAGTAGTGGTTGACATGCGGGTAGCGCATCTTAACCTGACCGACAACGTACGATGTGTAAATTGCGACAAGACCAAGACCAACGCACATGATGACACCGGGAACCATTCCCAGGGTCGCGAACGCGCTGGGAATACTGAGGGAACCAAGAGCGATGGCTTCGACGATCAAGCATACTGTAAGTTGCTTCCAGCCAAGGCGGTGGAACTTTTCAGATCCCTCCTGGACGGTAGCAGTCTTGTCGACGGGCATCATGAGTTCTGGGTCGCTTTTCTTGCCCTCAGATGAAAGGTCGTCCAAACGGTAGGTTGGCGGTGCAGCAGCGTAATGCCTAGCGGGAATGCCGGTGTTGACGCCGTTGGAGCCTGCAGCGGCGTATTGTGGCTGAGGGTTGCCCGTCGTCAACCCGTTTGCGTGAGGTACTTCCTGCATGATGGAAGATGTCGGGTGTTCAAATATTGATATTTTGAATTTGACGGTGGGGTGGAGTCGTGGTCAAGTCGGAAGTCCAAGGGCACTCGCGACTTTTTGGTGTTTGGCGCTGCTGACGAGCTAGTTTGCCCGGTACACCAAAAGCAGCAGTTGCAGTGTAGGTCACAGGTCCAGTCGTCGGAAGCGGGAAGAGGACGGCGGTCGATGTCGACGCTCTGTGACGTACCGTGGAACCGAAGGAGAGGTGGATTAGTATAGTAACACAACAATAGCCGTTTCCTTAACGCCAGCGGCTACAGTTGTTTCTTATATCAACGAGCCTTATCTCTCCGCACGTTCTGCATGTGTAATAGAATGTTCCAAGCGGCCTTCCCCCGCGCGCTCCCAGCATGCTGGACGACCGATGTTGACCGAAAGCTGGCTATCGAGGGCCTTAGCGACTCTCGGTCCATTTCTCGTATCGTACCAGTGTATGGTGCGTGCAGCCAGCAGCGTCGCTCTCTAGTGGCGTTGGTAATAACGCGGTCCACATGGTGCGTCGCAGTTGACGTAAAATTTTCTCTTTTTTACGTGTTTGAGTGGTGAGCGTTGGGACGTGCTTGATGTGACATCGCCTCAATCCTTACTAGGTGACATCACGGCGGAACCTGCATGAGGGTTGCAGATAAGAGAGCCGCTCAGCTCACGCGACGACCGGGAGATGTGGGATAAGCATTCTGAGTTTGCAGTGACGAGTGCCATGGCGACAGAGGCGTCGCGTAGGGCTGACCGTGTGGCTGCATTGGAGCGGCGGACAAGCCTTTAGGGCCGCGCCATCCCGGGTCTCGGCGGGGCTTGAGTAGTTTAACCGAACAGGTACAGGGCGCAAACTCTGAGCGAGGCCCCCCCGAACCTTCCCGTCGACTACGCCCAGTGTGGTAATGCACGACACTTCTCGGTGATTTGAGCCTGGGCGCGGATTGCTTCTTGGCTTCTAAATGGGTGATGGCAAGCGTTGCGTGACCGCGCGGCTTATCTTTGGAGCAAGGGTTTTGTGGAGTGCATTGCCGAACTTTGCGCCGGCCAATGATATGGGGGATGAATAGAATTGCTTGGAGATAGCTATGGTCTTACCCCAGGATCTCAGAAGCCTCAAAGGACACCGTGGGATGTCCTGCTCTTGCCGAACAGCCGTGGTCCTCCAGATTGGGAGAGACTGGCCAAGGATGCCGCGCAACGAGCGCAAAAACACTCGGGCAAGTTACTGCAGACTGCATCGGATGCTCCATCTCTTCATGGACCCTTCCGCCACTGGAACCGAACAAACGGCATACTACAGCCGTTGTCGGAAGCTATCGAGGCCGCGGCCTCTGTACATACACTACTCGACTACGCCGCGGTTTTTAGAAATTCGTCCACTACATGCGGGTCAGTCTCGACTTCCTGGGCTCCCCTGCTTCGCCTGCTCTCCCATGTCTCGCTCACGTGGGCGTCTTCCGCCGTCGATTCTGGTGTGAAGACAAATACGCGATGCTCACCTGGACAAAAGTTAGCCTATAATGCGGGCCCAGATATAGAGGCAGACCGACAGTTCTTCCACGCGGTACCTAGCATCGGGTCTTCGACTTCCCAGTCCTCAGTCAGGAAGTGTGCGAATGCGCCATGAGTAACGACCATCACCTGTTCCGTTAGCACACCATCCCTGAGAGGACGACGGTCGACTTACCTGCGCTTCAGGCCGTTGGTACAACCAGTTCCTTAGATCAGAAGCGCGCTTCGATATGGCGCGCTTCTCATACGCCCAATAGTCTTGCTGCAGGACGTGTTAGTAAGCATGCATGTTGATGTCAGACCGGGAGATCGACCAACCTTGGAATTCCAGCCCGCTGTCACCGCAGAGGCGTCGACTTTGCTGATATCAAAGTCGATCTCGCCTTCGGGGAAGAGTTCTGGTAGGAACTTTTGCACGTCATCTGCAGTATCTGCAATTCCAACGTCACACCCAATGTTGCTGACTTCTTGCAAGGCTGGCAACAGCACGAACGGCACCTCCTTCCGCGATAGCACAGGCCCGAAACTCAGCGCAGCGGTCTGGATCGTTCGGCGCAGGGGCGACGCAAACACCGTCTCTATCTCTTCGTGATACTGAAATGCCGAGCTGAGTGTGCGACATTGCTCTTTGCCTTTCGTGGTCAGGACAGCGTCGCGAATGCTGTAATCGCGCTGCGGTCGATTAGCGTCGATGTCGTAGAGATCATCCCTCCCGAACTGTCACCTACAGTCGCGTTGTGTTGTCCTTGCGCGTGGCGAACAATATGAATCTTTGGAGGCATCGTGGTGTTGGTGTTGAGTGTTGCTGAGTCTGCACTGTACGCTTGGTGGTGGGGCTTGCCGATTGAGTCACCAGGGTGCTATCGTGCAGTGGCGAATCTGAGATTGATGGGTGAGAGGATAGTTTGACGGATGATGTTCAATCTCTTCCTACACTCAGTCTACGATTGCGATGCCGACTTCCAGGTTCTTACTTTATACTACGTGGTTGCAGTCCGCGGTGTTCGTACTTCTATACGGAACAGAGATCGCTCCCACAAGGAAGGTCAGCCGAGTGACAGCAATTCGGCCACCCGCACTAGGCCGCTTCCGGGGTCGAATTTCGTTGTCGCAATCCGTGTCTTTGAGACAAAGTAACGGTTGTGAATGCATTTTGAACAGCAAAAGTCCAGCAATCAAAGCATTGAATAGCTTGGAGTGAGTTCTCAGACTCCCGCGACGCGCGATTGACGGATGCGCTGGTCTATGTCCATGGTTGACTGTTGGCTTCCTTACTCGAACCTTTTGCCATGACCAAGCTCTTTTCCTTTAAGAAAAAACGAGTAACTGCTATATGCACGCACCCCCAAGTGCTTGTTGCAGTGAAGCGTATGAGCAGATTAATATGTAAAGCTGGTCGTTGAAATGCGACGGTGAACCACTTGAAGGAAAAGAACACGAGAATCGGATATTGCGATGGAATTCAGATCGAGCGTGAGGGGAAAAAAATCGCTTCGTACTATATGCCTCGCACTGGCGTCCATGATACACAAGAATGCTGCTGGTAGTTCGCATGCGCGCAATAGATGATGTTTGGTGTTTTCAGTAAGTCGCTATATTTGGGCAGGAGCGATAGTCTATTTAGCGCCCGCCTGCCAGGGGAAGTACATCCAACAAACCTCAAGCACTTCCCTCATCGTAACTTCAGTATCGCGCAACAGACTATCCCATCGCGACGGGAACGAGTACGTTTCTGGCTCGGTTACCGATACATCTTCTTTCTCGAGATAATATAACCGATGCAGCACTTGTTGCTGTCCTTTGAGCTATTGTATAGGCCCTCATCACTCAACGGACAGATCTCACAGTCTTTTAGAGCGAGCGTCACGCGACAGACACCGTCTGTCCCTGAGTCCGGTAGCTACTTGTCTTGATTATTTCTACTGGGTTGCCTCCTTCATTGTGTTGTTGTGCTTCTTCCCGTCGCCCAAACAAATAGGTACGCACTTACGACTTTGAAGCAGCAGTCTACGGGCCATCTGCACTTTACGTCAGGAGAAAGAGGAGATGTGGACAAGCTTTTGCGTCAAGCGTTGCGGCTCTCTACCATGGTCGCTTGCCCACAGGCTTGGACTCATCAACAAAGGCTATCGGCGTTGAGATGTCAACAGTTTTGATGTTGTATCAGGGGTTCCCTCTGGTTCCCGATCGTGCGAGCCAATGCACGTTTTCGGCCAGGCAGGTACATCGGATCCGCAAAAGACCCCGCAGCACTAGTGCGAGCAGTCTCATCCACCATCCAGGAAGCCTCATCGTTATCGCTATCATATACATCACTGACAGCTTTGCGAACCTTAATATTTGTTCAACATCACTCGTCCAGCATGTCATATAGCGAACCCACAGTACTTATCATAGGCGCAGGTACTTTCGGCGCGTCTACCGCGTATCATTTGAGCAAACAATACAAGGATCCATCTCGGATAACTATCGTTGATCGCTGGAATACCAATGCATCACTTGGTCAAAAGCAGGCGGCAGCCATCGACACCAACCGCATCATCCGTACCGACTACGAATCGCACCTTTACTGCAATCTCGCAAATGAGGCTATTCATTTCTGGTTTTGGAGCATTGCAGTTCAAGGCCACTTTCACAAAACTGGCTGGGTTGTTCTAGACAAGAAAGATGGTACTTTTGGAGATGCGATCAAAAAGACGTTTTGCGAGCGAGGAGGCGATTGCACGCGGGACTTACCAGCTAAAGACCTGGACAAGTACGCTGTGACCAAAGGGATCAAGAGTGAACAATATGGCAAAGGCTACTTCAATCCCGAAGCTGGATGGTGCGATGCTGAAAGAGCAACCCAAAGCTTTACGAAGGTTGCACTCGAGTCTGGTGTCAAACGAGTAACCGGGGAAGTGCAAGAGTTATTACTTAGTGCCGACAAAAGCCGCGTCGCTGGTGTCAAGTTGAGAGATGGCCAGATTCTCAGAGCCGACAAGATCGTGTTAGCAGCAGGAGCATGGACCAGCTCTCTGATGTCACCAATTGAAGACGCTTTGAAGATCCAAGAGCAGGATCGCATCGAGCGCCAAGTCACTGCTGTCGGACGTGTCTCTGCGTACTACACACTGAACGAACAAGATACCCAAGGCATGATCGACGAAGAAGTCCCCGTGATCGTCATTGGTGGAGAAGTCGACATCATCCCACCTTCGCAGCCGAACCGGACGCTGAAGATCAATGATCTCAAGACGGAGATCGTCAACAGGGTCACAACACCTTCTGGACATACCATCACCATGCCATCACGGAGGAACCAAAACGATGTTCCGGAGAAGCTAAAGCACGAAAGTGCACAGATAATTCACAACGCCATGCCAGAGTGGACGCGCAGCAGACAACCAGACCGCTGGCGAATTTGCTACGATGCCGTCACACCCACAGAAGACTGGCTCATGTGCCAGCATCCTCATCAACAGCTCGCTAATCTATACCTTGCAGTCGGTGGTAGCTTTCATTCATACAAGTAAGTGACTTTAGACCTATGTCTCGTGTCGCGCAGCAGACTGCGATACTGACGTCTTCGTTAGGTTCCTTCCCGTCGCTGGCAACTACATGTGCAATGTGCTATCTGGTAAGAGTAATGGCGAAGAGAAGGATACCGCTTGGAAGTGGAAGAACGCGGAGGAACTATCCTGTCGCAAGGGTAAGGAATTTGGCGAGAGCCCAAGGAATTGCGATAAGAAGGAGTTGAGTGAGTACGAGGGGGTATCATCGAGGTTATAGTCGTTAAGAGGTGACGCTTTGCACGACAGCAACACTTATGAACTACCATTGGTTTTAACAAGATCAAGATACCATCGACTGTTCCGCGCCACGAAAAAAATCCGTTTTCAAAGCCGTTGATATGCTCTTCACTAGAACTAAGGCGTACGTCTAATCTACCGGTACTGCGCTTGCACGCGGTAAAGAAGTGGCTGGCGCAAAGCTCGCGCTTGTCTTCTGCGGCCAGCAGGAGTATCTCGCGTTGATTATAGTGAGACGGAGACAAATACTTCATCAGTAGCGAAAATTAGCACAGGTCTCTTGTTACCTGTTTGATTGTGAAAGTGCAACCAAAGCTATAAGTCTAATACAGCTCCAGAGAGTTCTAGTAGCGCTTGATGTCGAAGTTAGAAAAAGATAGTGTTTCAAAACCTTGCGGTGTAGTTAGATAAATTGATTGCGACTCGGTGGTTCCATTACAGAGTTAGGTGTCGATAACCATGGTTCATGGTAGGCAGCCATGGCCCAGAACCATAGCAGCGCGATCTGTTTTCACCGCGGAGAGGACAGAGAAAATCTAAAAGTATTAGGCTGCTGTACCTTCTTTGGCCTTGGCATGAATCTCACCCCATTCGTTTCCTTGTTCACTGCTATATACCCAGCCGATTGTCCACCTTAGCACAATAAAGCGCTTTGAAGTGACAACAGTTATAGTTGGTCAGCAGAAGCTAGTATGTCTCACCTAAAGGAAACTCAGACAACCGACGATACCAGCCAAGAGGATTCTTGCGTCCAGTTTGTCAGTGGAAAGAAGGTGATCATCCTCCCCAACGACCCGCCCTCGAAAAAGCCCGAAGATGGATACATCTTAGTTAGTGACCCCATGGCTGCCGCTGTCGATGTGAGTGTACCCGCTTACTAAGAATTGGAGCTTTTCGCGCCCTGGAACTAACATGCACAGGACTTGGGCGTCTCTGGCCTCCTCATTCACTACGCTAGTATCCTCGCAGTCGAAACTAAAGTAGACCTCCACACCGGCCCACAATGGGATGCGCTCGTCGAGGGCCTCGATACTCTACGCATCTGTTCCGAACTTTTCTCAAACGCCACCATCCATGATCTGCCCAAAGTGTTCGGATATGTCAACTACAAACTATCGCCGCAACACCAGGTCACCCTTTTCATCGTCCTTTCAGCCATCTTCAAGACGACTGACTGGATGCGCTTCGAGCGCCAGGTTGTCGAGAAGGAGGAATTTGAGATATCAGCCGTCGTATGGGCGTTCAAAATCGGTCCCAGGGGTCTGACACAGGGGCGGTCAAAAGGAAAGAAGGAGCTTGAAACACTCCTGGAGGCGGAGGAGGCGTGGATTGCTGCTAACCGCAACGCGGTCAATTATGAAGAGAGCAAGAAGGCGCTGCTGCAGCTCGCTGCTGGATTCGTGGAGTGGGGTACGAACGCGGCCGGATTCTTTGGCGCCAAGTAGCGCAAGATTGCCGGTTCAGTTGTCTGCAATTTGGGGGTATTGAGACTTCACGATATCATCAATCGTCTCGGCTGAGAGAGCCACCAGTGTCGAGTTCTTCTGCTTTGTAATCAGAGTTGCTATCAGTCAATCAGTCAGTTGTCAGTTCATCTTTGCGGTTCAAACTGTCAGTCTGGAGGTAGTGAACTGACCTGATTGACTGCCAAGACATTTTTTAGAATCGCGAACTGAGACT